GAAAAACTACCCCGTAGGATTAGGTTTAATTGTACTATGTGAATTATGTGGAAGACGTGTACATGAGGTGACGAGTATATACACAGGCTTATTTGTGAAACTTGACCGGATTTAGACTCTTAGATTACTTATAGGCATTTAACTAAAGTTGTTATTAATTGTTCTACCTTTTGTTGTCAAGTTCATTCTTACGTATTTTAATTGAAGTTGTTATTACTTGGTCGAGTTTCCATTGTCTAGTTTTCCCTTGTATGCATTGATTAGTAGTTGTTGTTATATGTTATTCTTTTCATAGTTGAGTTATTATCATGCATTTAATTGTAGTTGCTATTTCATGCTATCTCTTTCATTGTTAAGCTTATATTATGCATTTAGAATTTGAAGTTGTTATTTCATGAAAATATCTTCCTTGTTGATCTATTGAAGTTGTGGTTGTTGAAGAGCTATTAACACGTTTGTGGTTGAAATTTTTGTTTATTGGAATACCTTTCCTTCTTGAGTTATTTCTCCTTCATTTTGTTGTTATTAAGATTTTTGTACATATTGTGGTTGAGTTGTGGGCTATGTGTTGTGGTGATATTGGTATTGTTATTTTGGCAATATTGTGGCATATGGGCATGTGTGGTGCGAGTTGATTATTATATTGTGTTATTGATACGCATGTGATGGTATAAGGGTAGGTATTGAAACGCATGCGGTGAGATAATGTGGGACTTATACGCATGTTTCTAGTAAGAGAATTACTTGAAGCCAAGTGGTAAGATAAGGGGGCTAAAACGTGTGTAGCTATTTCGGGAAAAATATTTTTAAAATAAATGCAAGGCTCACGCGGTGATATAAGGAAGATTATGATTGTGACTTGTGAAATGTGAATATGAGATGTGGTACCTCGGTGTGATTCTTGTTGTACATTCTACGGTGGAAAGGCTTGTTGATTTGAACAGTTATTGTTTTGTTTTCCTCACCTCATTCCATCCGTAATTTTGATTGTACTTGGTTATTTATTGTTACTCTTGTGTTGGAACGATTGTAATTTCTTGGATGGGTCATGCATTCTATATGATTTGTTGTGTTGTCTTAATGTTCCAATAAGTACCTCCGTTGTTACTTGGTGAATTGATTGATTGATAACAAGCTTTACTATATGTGTGTCTCAAAATAAAACTCGTCATCTCACTCTGTGCTTTACTATATTTAAATTGTTATCACGCTTTACTTTAAATGATTCTACATTTAATTCGTTAACTTATCTGATGTTTTACATTATTCAAAAATATTATTTTACTTACCTTGATTGATTTTTAAACTAAACTCATTTCCCCCTTTGATACCCTACTTTGTATAAATTGAACTTTATTTTACTTTATTTGAATTCTAAAACAAATTTATTATCTCATTTGATGCCTTACTTAATTCAAAATTGTCATTTTACCTTATTTTATTTAAATAAATCGATCGAACATTTTATTTGGCAATTGATGCAGATATAATGTATATGGTAGCACGTGGACTTTGCCGAGCGAAGGTGATTGATAATGTGGGCACGAGGTGCCATGTGTGTAAGATTCGGGATTGTGGCTTATGATATATGATTACGATTTGTGGTGCCTCGGGGTAATTCTTATTGACAGTCATGCGTTGGGGACAATTCGATTACTTGAATTGTCACTTGTTTCCTTGATTGATTTCATTCATACTTTATTTGTGTTCTGATTATGTTGCTGCTTTATTACTCGTTTACTTATGGTTGCTATTTGTGTTTCTATTATTCCATTGATGGTTTTATATTAATAATCTTTCCACTATTAGCCTTACGTTGATGTTCTTTTCATTGCTAGTTTTATGTTAATATCTTACACATGTTTTATGTCTAGTAAGTGTCTCGACTTACCCGTCACTACTCCACCGATGTTAGTCTTGATACTTATTATGTACCGATGTGGTGTACTCATGCTATGCTTCTGTACATTTTTGTGCAGACCAGGTACTTCTGATTGTATTGGTTTTGAGAGTTGTGTCCGCACAGCTGGAGACTTTAAGGTACACCTTCTTGACATTCGCAGGCCTCGGAGTCACATTCGGATATTATCTTTATTACTGTTTATCTTCATTTCAAAACACTATTGTACTTAGAGATTCTAGTTTATTTCAATAGATCTTATGACTTTGTACTACCGGTTTGCGGAAATGTATAACTATTGGTCATTTTCAGCTATGTATGCCATTTATAAGTTGGTGTTTAATGATTAAATAGTTAAAATTTGTTATTAACTCAGCATGTGTTAGGCTTACCTAGTCTTAGGGACTATGTGCCATTACGACGTCCTAAGTTGGAAATTTGGGGTCATGACATTTCTTTCGAGCCACATTCGGCTCCTCAGTAGCAGTGCCCTTAGTAGCACTCAAAACAGACAACTCTGCATCTCCCGGCTACTCAAAGTCTATCTGGACTCCAATGTGATGTACCTGTCTCAATCCACGAATAGCCTTGAGCATCACAGCGAACTGCTCTCGCATCCACAGATCTCTAGTCTCCTGTGCAACTAGCAAAGCACGGTCTCATGCCTTTAAATCTACTTGCAACTATTGTAGCGCTCATTCCATATCAGTGATGGATTCACCATGTCCCTTCTTTTGTAAAGTCACAGTCGATGGGTCCTGAACAGAGCATATATCATGGAATGCCAACTATGTGCCTCCACATATCTCATCATCATCCTCAGTCAACTTATATTTTCCAAGTAAAGCAGTCAATGTATGAACAAAGTATAGCGTCCACATCATGTTTAGTTGATGGTTTCATTATGGATGGCTTAGCACTACCACCTGCTCCATGGCTTCGAGTTGGTGTTTTAGAGACATCCATATTACCTGCAAGGATACAAAATACATATTAGTATAATGTGTGACATTGAGTCATAGCTGTGCACTTGGCACTCCACACTTAGCCTGAAGGCGTAAGTATGCAAACAAGGTACGAGTGACTACTACATTTTATTGCAATGATATAAGGCTACTTAGCATCATGGAAAATCAAGTAGTGAGGACGATGCACGAGTCGTGCCTAAGTCGGCCGCAGGTTGACATTCGATCAAAAATCAAAGCAATTTAAGTACAAAGACCCCCAAATGACTACCCTACCGTCAAGCGATGTTCTTATTGCCAATACAATTAAGATTACTACTTAGACTTCACAAAACTTATCAAAAATTGCATTTAGGAAGTTTGTCAAACACTTTGTATGCCAAGTTTTAGAGTTCATGGTTCAAATCAATTAGTATGTGTTTTGCCCTCACAATTTGAATGAGGTGGTGGGAATTGTAGTTTTCCACCTCATTATACAACGATCAACTAAATTTGGAGCAAAATATGATCCACAATTTGAAATTCAATTACTCTACCAAAAGTAACCATAACAAGAAAGAAACAGAAAAACACAAACTAACCTAAGGGAGAGTGGTCTGGGGCTATTACGTGGGGGTGGGGAACGAACATAAGACACGCAGAAGGGGGTGGAAAATCATACCAGTTTGGTGAGGAGGGGTTTGGAAAACCTATGAGTGAAAGGGAGATAGGGAGCACGTACTCGGGTAGGGAACGATCGGGAGGAAAGAGGGAAATAAAAGAAAAACAAGGAGAAAAAAGGTTTAAGGCAAAAATCTGGAGAATGGAAAAGGAAAAGAAAAAATATTTTTTTTTTAAAAAACTCGCAAAGTCATCCATGCCCCGGGCGGACTTTACTGCCCGTGAAGATTGGCCAGCATAGCTAGCGCATCAACTTACGCATGGCGCGCAGACGCGATCCCAGCTAGGCTTCTTTTCAGCTTTGCAAATTTAGCCCCTTTTGCCTTTTATCTCGATCTCTTCACCTCAAGTCATTCTGATTTGCAAAATTCCATCCCTGCATCACTCATAAACATGTCAACACTTCAAACTTTTCAAATCAAACTAAAGAAATAAAGACAAACATAAAAATTGGATTGCCTCCCAATAAGCGCTTGATTTAACGTCGCGAAACGACAAATTACAACAACACCATGGGTTGCCTACCAGGAAGTGTCTGATTTAATGTCACAGCACGCATCGGGCTATCCCTTATCAAGTATCCTTCAAGTACATGGTTGAGATCACTTTATCGTCCTCACCCATGCCTTCATAATATTTTAGCATTTGCCAATTAACTTTGAACTTGCGGGAGCTATCTTTCAATGCAATTTCTACAGCTCCGGTAGGATGCATCTCTGCCACACGAAATGGTCCTGACCATCTTGACTTCAACTTGCCCGCAAACAACTTCAATCTCGAATTGTATAGCAATACCATGTCTCCAAATTTAAAATGTTGCTCAAGAATATTTTTGTCATGTATCATCTTAATTCTCTCCTTGTATAGCCTTGTGCTCTCAAAAGTGTGGTAATGAAACTCATCAATCTCGTGCAACTCTGTGACTCTATTTGTACCCGCAACTTTCATATCAAGATTCAGTTGCCTCAATACCCTCAAAGTTCTATGCTCCAACTTCACGGGTAAGTGACATGCCTTCCCAAATACCAGTTTATACGGAGACATGCCAATTGGAGTCTAGAAAGTAGTGTGATAGTCCCAGAATGCATCATCTAATTTTTGTGCCCAATCCGTTCTTGTAGCATTCATAGTCTTTGTCAAAACACTCTTTATTTCTATGTTTGAAACCTCCACTTGTCCATTCGTTTGTGGGTGATATGGAATGGCAAACTTGTGGCGAACACCACATTTCTCTAACAACTTTGTGAAGGCTCGGTTGCAAAAGTGAGTGCCTTCATCACTGATTGTTGCCCTTGGAGTGCCAAATCGGGTGAAAATGTTCTTTCTCAAAACACCAATGACCCCTTTACATCATTTTTAGGGAGTGCCACAGCTTCCACCCATTTTGAAACATAATCCACCACTACAGGTATATATTTGTTGCTATATGAGCTGACAAAAGGTCCCATAAAATCGATTCCACATACATCAAACACCTACACCTCCTGAATTGCTTTCATAGGCATCTCATGTCGACGGAAAATATTCCCGGTCCGTTGGCATTCATCACAACCCTTCACCCAGAAGTGTGCATCTTTTAACAATGTCGGCCAGTAGAAGCCCGACTCCAACACTTTTACAATTGTCCTTACTCCTCCAAAATGGCCACCATACGGGGACGCGTGACAAGCCTGTAAAATAGAAGATTGGTCTGTCTCGGAGATACATCTTCGGATCATGCTATCAATACAAATCCTGAACAAATAAGGCTCTTCCCAATACTACATGTGACAATCACAAAAGAACTTATTCTTTTGTACAGAGGAAAGGTCACAGGGAACAATACCGCTCGCCAGGTAGTTTGCAGTGTTTGCATACCATGGCGCTACCTCAAGGCTTGTGGACAATAGTTGTTCATCCATAATCGTCTCCACGATATCTTCTACCTCAACTTTCTTCTGTGCTCCTTCCAGCATGGACAAGTGGTCAACCACTTGGTTCTCCGTTCCATATCGGTCACGGATTTCCAAGTCAAATTCTTGTAGTAGAAGCACCCATAAAATTATGCGTGGCTTTGACTCCTTATCAATTAAGTACCTGAGAGCATCATGGTCAATATAAACAATTACCTTAGCGCCTATCAGGTATGACCTGAATTTGTCAAATGCAAACACCACTACTAGCATCTCCTTCTCGGTCACTGTGTAGTTTAGTTGGACACCACTTAAGGTTCTACTTGCACAGTAGATTGGGTGCATGACCTTCTCTTTGCACTACCCAAGAACTGCTCCCATAACATAGTCACTTGCATCACACATCAGCTCAAATGGTTGCTCCCAGTCAGGTGTATCTATGATTGGTGCAGTCACCAGCCTCTTCTTCAACTCCTCAAAATCTACCCTGCAATCATCAAAACATAAAGGGGTGATCTTTTTAAAGCAGTTTACACAAAGGGTGAGCAATCTTGGAAAAATCTTTTATAAATCTCCTATAGAAGCCATCCTGACCAAGGAAACTTCTTATTTCTCTGACGTAAGTGGGCGGTGGCAACTTATCTATCACATCAACTTTAGCGCGGTTCACTTCAATGCCATTACTTGACACTAGGTGTCCCAAGACTTTACCTTCCCGTACCATAAAATGGCACTTTTCCCAGTTTAGCACCAGATTAGTCTCCATACACCTCTTCAGCACTCTTCTCAGATTTACAAAGTAATCATTGAACGAGTTCCCCACCACTGAGAAATCATCCATGAAGACCTCCAGTATATCCTATACCATATCAGTAAAGATGGCCATTATGCACCTTTGGAATGTGGTGGGTGCATTGCATAGGCCAAACGACATTCTCCGAAAAGCAGAGTTGTCATATGGATAGGTGAATGATGTTTTCTCTCTATCCTCTAGGGTAATAGAGATCTGGTTATACCCCGAGTATCCATCCAAGAAGCAAAAATGGAACCTCCCTACCAACCTATCTAACATCTGATCGATGAACACAGGGGGAAATGGTCTTTTCGGGTGCCCTTGTTCAATCTTCTGTAGTCCATACAGATTCGCCATCCCGTAAACATTCTTGTTGAGATCAGCTCATTGTTCTCGTTTTGCACCACGGTCATTCCACCTTTCTTCGGAATACATTGAACTGGGCTCACTCAGGTGAGATAGTAACATGTAAAGTCGAGTTAGGTCCCAAGAAAGCATACCTGAGGTGAGTTGGGAGTGGTTTCAACTTCAACTATTGTGGAACTTCAATTGATAGTTTAGTCGGAGGGGTCTTTCTTTCTTCTAAGTGTAAATGCTCGAATTAGAGCTCTCTTTTCCAGTACCCTTGGCTTTAAAGATCCAAAACCCACTCCGACAAGTCCTCACCATCAACCTCTTCTAAGTTCATGAGGCAGACTGCTAGAGGGTCTTTTGCATGAAGTGTCTCATCTTCCTCCTCCGTTATCACATCACTGCTTCAATTAGAGATCAATTAGCAAACTCATTGGGTCACCTCATGGACGTTTGCACATTAAATGTTATTTTTTCATTATTCAGTCTCATCTTTAGCTCCCTAGTTTCACAATCAATCAGAGCTCTCCCTGTGGTCAAGAACGGCCTTCCCAAAATTATGGGAATCTCCTCTTCAACCTGACTGTCCAGAATCACAAAATCTGCAGGGAACACAAATCTCCCAACCTGCACAAGTACATCATCAAGTATACCTGATGTTCTCTTCACTATTAGATCAGCTAGCTGTAGTAATATAGATGTGGACCATGCTCTTCCAATGCCTAACTTTTTATAGATAGACAAGGGCATCAGATTTACGCTCGCCCCCAAATCACATAATGTTTTGTCAAAAGCATAGCTACCTATGGTGCATGGAATTGTAAAACTTCCAGGATCGGATAGTTTCTCAGCTACAGGTCTTGTAACAACAGCACTACAAGTCTGATTCATTGTCAAAGTAGCTAGGTCTTGAAAGTCGAACTTGTGACACATCAAGTCTTTCATCATTTTTGCGTAACCTGGCATCTCTCGCAAGGCATTTATTAGTGGAATGTTCACCTAAATTTGCTTCAACATCTCCGTGAATTTTTTGTACTGCTCATCCTTCTGATATTTAGCCAACTTCTGCGAGAAGGGTGCTGGAGGTCGCTTCTTTCCTGTATCTTGAGACGATTCCTGCTCAAGTACTTTTTCCTTTGTAACCTCCTTTTCATTTCTTGGTTCCTATTGCACCTATTGTACTGTAACCTTAGTTAAATCAGTTGATCCATCTACCTCAAGTGGTACCAGCACAAGTGTTGCAGTTGGTCGGCTTTCTCGAGCAATTTCTTACCCTAGATTAAGATCTCTACCATTCCTCAAACTTACGATCATCAGCTGTTTTGGGCATGGCTCCTTTGGGTTGATGTTTGTATCTGCAGGCAATGTCCCCTAAGGACTATTATTCAAAGCCATAAAGATTTTCCCCAATTGAATTTCAATCCCCTTGATAGCTAAGTCATGTGATACTACCTTTCTTGCATCTGATGGACCCTTTCTTCCATCTTCATGTTGGACCCAATGAGTTGTTGTAGCATTCCTTTAATTTTAAACAACCTGTCATCTTGTCTTGCTATATGTTGTTGTTGAGGTTGTTGATAAGCTAGTTGTTCATTCTGCTGATTGTATCCCTATTGCGTTTGATAAGGCTGAACATCAAAGGCAGAACTTGACCTTGTGGTCTCATTGCTCCAGGATTAGTATTATTGTTGTACTACTATTGTGCTAGCCTATACAGCTAATTTTGTTGTCCCCCACTCTGTCCACCTTGTCTTTGTCCCCCAAAGTTGCTCACATAGTTCATATTTTCATGGTAGTTATGGATGTCACTTTCACCGCTCTATGAACACACATATGGTTGCTTAATGCATGGTGTGCATAATCCTCCATTAGTCGTATCAACTATGTGTACCTGCTTTTGGACTGATTCATTAGTCTTCTTGGTGAGGATACTCATATGAGTCATCAGAGTGGCCATATTCTCGGAGATAGAGTTGTTCAAGTCCAGAGCTACTGAGTGAATGATAGGGGTGAGTACAATGTCTCTTGTCATCCATCCTGAGTTTTGAGCCATTTTATCGAGTAGGACCTTACACTCTCTAAGTGATTTGCTAAAACATACTCCACTTGCTAAAGCATCAATGTTAGCCTTCAAGATATCTGCTAGCCCCATGTAAAACCTCTGTCCCAACATCTGATCTGGAATGCCATGGTGTGGGAACTTAACCAACATCACTTTGAACGTCTCTCACATTTCTTGCAGTATTTTAGTTGGTTTCTACCTGAAGCTCAATATTCATCAACATGCTTTGTAGTCTTATTAGGTGGATAGAAGATTTTCAAAAACTACTTGACTAATTCCTTCCAGGTAGTGATGGAGTTTATGGGGAGCGAATGAAGCCAAGTTTGAGCATCTCCAGTCACTGAGAATAGAAACAATAACAATCTGATTGCTTCCAGTGTCACATTCAGTTGCCTTTAAGTGACACAAATTAACAGAAAATTTTTTAGGTGTTGTTATGGATCTTTAATGTGAGACCCGTAGAATAGTCTCTTGTTATGTGGTAGATGTAGCATGTTATTCGTGATTTGAAATGATTCTGCTTGTATCTGAGGGACTGCAATTGCGGTTGCTATATTTTTAGTGGTGGTTATGCCCAATCATAAATGGCTGCTTCTGGCACAAGAGGTGCCATACCCTGATTGTTTGGGTCGTTCCCATTGTTTTTGTTGTTTTGATTGTCTATGACGTCACCTATGTCTAAATCAATTTGTTTTGTTGGGTTCTGTTGTCATTCGTCTTTCTTGTTTGTACGATTTAATGCCTTGAAAGCTTTCTCAGGGTCCGGTAATGCTTCAAACAATTCACCAGTTCTCGAGGAGTTTCTAGGCATGCACCTGTATCACACAAGACAACAAATTTCAGAATTTCAATGTAATGAAATTAAAATCAAGAAAGTTGACTAAACTAAGAATCTTAGCCATTCTTCTCACTATAATTAATAACACTGTTAAATTCCCTGACGATGGCGCTAAAATTTGAGCGCGCCTAACTATGCCTCCTAAAAGGTCTAGTGGTTGTCCTAAATATAATTCGATTTACAAGTCCAGAGTCGAATCCTACATGGAATCATCCTACTAATCATAACTACTAGTTTCTCAATACTTGAAGTAATCAACTTCTAGAAAATTGTTTTCTAACTAAAAGTCAAGTAATTAAAAGGTTGTAACTTTATTACTACTAAAACGAAGGATGTAGACAAGATTGGAAAAGTCTAGACTTATCATTTTCCCTATTGTCGGAGTCTTCCCCGCTACGCCTCCTATAAATTAGCCTAAGTATTTTTTACCAATCATGAGCACTTTATATGTCGTAATTCTCTTCCGAGAAACTACAATAATTTACTAGACGTATTCTCCCGAACTACGCTAGCTGGCACTAAATTACTACTCACTAAGATCATATCAAGGTTTCGTTATTCCTAATCCTTTCTATAAACCCTTCGTATTGATTCATCAAATACGTTAGGAGTGATTTTGTTCAATAATTACCTAAATATGTGTAAGGCCCCGTAAATGTTTTGCCAAGAAATTCGAGTTTTGTAGTGCCGAGATAGGCTAATGTGTTCGAAGGTAGTAGTTAATCATCGCGATAAGCTTGATCGCTGCGGTATGAACTTTTTGGGTTGAAGAATGCAATGAGGAGTTGATGGAAATTTTTCGCAGAAGAAGGCAAATATGCGGTCAATTTCACGACCGCAAAACCATTTTGCGGGGCGCATAATCATTGCGGAGTTGAGGAGAAAAATATTTTAATTTTTAAGGTTGTTTTGCGGTATAGTATGGATCGCACATCTGTTTCACGGTCTGCACTTCCATCACATATTTGGCATGAATAATTTTTTAGGGTGATTCTACAGTCCATTTCGCGGTCGCATAACTGGTCTGCGGACCGCAGACCTGGCCGCAGACTTGTCCAGGCCAGCCCAGTTTTTGAAGTTAATTTTGCGGCCCCTTATGCGAGCCGGATATCTGTTATGCGGTCCACTCTGCGCCTACAGAGTTGAGTTCAGATGGTCCATTTTTTATTTTTATAACCCGACCCCATTTTGATGAAAAGCCTTTGTGGCTCATTTTGAAGGCAAAAATCTGATATTTTTAGAGAGAAGTGAGAGTATCTTAGAGAGAGAGGGAGAAGACCTAGCAATTTTACTCATCCATTCTTTCCCCAATCTTCAAGAATCAAGGAAGCCATTCACTAAACCATCACCTATCCGGGTAAGTCCTTCTCCTAAGTTTTCATACAAGATGTTATGGGTTTAAGTATGTTGTGGGGTTGGAGTTAGGCCATCCGTGTGCTAATAAGAGGTAGTATGTGGGGTTGTTGAACTATTTCGGGTAGTTTATTATTGAAATTGGTCGAGGGACGAAGGGATAACCATTGTAGAGCTTTGTAGTCGATTTTGCATAGTAAGTGTTTGACGAAATTCCCAAGAGAGTTATATCATGAGAATCCTTCCAATTAATATTCAACTTTTCCCCATTTTCCTATAGATTGAATTTTCTAAGAGTATTGGGATGTTGTACTAACCTAAGGAAAGCTCAAGCAAGGTATGTTGGCTAAACCTCTCTCTTAGACTCAAATTCCATGATGTTCCTGTAAGTTTCAAGTATGGTCAGCCCAGATTCCTAATTCCCATGTTCCGAGTTGTTCCTAATAAATTCGATTATTCCAAGTAAGCGTTGTGTTGAAAGATGCATATACTCAAAACGTGTACCAATTGCTCCTATCTTATTATGATCTCTTCTAGAATATGTTCAAGTATGGTTTATGTATTAAAATGTTATGACTTCAATTCGGGTCTAAATGAAAGTCTATTATGCTTAACTTGGAAAGAAAACTCAATGCGCCTAAGACTCATATTGCTCATATATATACTCAAGGCCTTGATTTCGAATGCTCTTGTTGTTGAAAATCTATAATGATGCTTGAAAGTGAAAGAAGTGAGTTGGAAATATAAAGTGCGGCCACCGTGCCAAGAATAAAAGTTATACTTGTGGCCAATAGTGCCAATGAAATGAAATGATGTGTGAAAGATTATGAAAATGAGCCTTGATTCAACTGTTCCAAATCGACTCTGAAGATAGATTTGTCTAAAAGCTTATGTACTCAAGTCATGTTCAAATGTTGTTGTTTTAACTAATTCCTGTGATTTGAACCCCTGTTTCAATTTTAAATCACCATGCTATGCTTTGTAAGAATTTCTAATGTGTTTTGAGTTCTTACATATTCATGAGTTGAAATTGTGTATTGCCCTTTTGATGAAAAGTATGCCAAGAATAAATGGTATGTCACTCGTTTATGATTTTAACTTGTGCTTCGATTGCCAATCATTTTGCTCTAATTATGTGGAAAGAAATTCATTATGCTTAAAGCATTCATTACTAATGAACTTAGAGTTATGATTTCCATAATATTCTATATGTTGATGTTTATGATGATGAACCTTGAAAGTAAAGAAATGAAAGAGTGGAATATGAGATGCGGCCATCGTGCCATGAATGAAGAATCATATGTGTGTCCAAGAGAGCCAGTGAAATAATATTGTTGTGAGTGGTTGAAAGTACTAATGAAGTTATATATGGTGTGAAAGGTTATGAGGTGAATGTATTTGTATTTCTGTTTTCTTTATGTGCAAAACAAAAATATTTTTGGGAGTATCATTAGTCACCGAAGAAGGGTAGGTTGAAACAACCTAACCCCGAAACTACATGTGCCGGTGTAGGTGTGATTGAGGGGTAAATCCCCGTACTGATATGTTGAGATTGGTTCCCTTAAATGGGATGAGATTGATATGTTGATTTTTTCCCCTTGATTGGGATGAGATTTTTGCTAACCTTGGATTAGATGTCGACTCACATGGCATATGTGGGGAGATGATGTAGCCGATCGGGTCGAGATCGGATGCCATGCTGCGCACATGGTG